AGAGAGAGAGAGAGAGAGAGAGAGAGAGAGAGAGAGAGAGAGAGAGAGAGAGAGAGAGAGAGAGAGAGAGAGTGTCTCATAAGGACACTACCGGCAGGACGATGGCGGGGACCTGGTTCACGGAGAAGGGAGAGAAGGATAGAAAGAGAGAGGATGTCTTGACACACTGCGAAGGAGATCCGACTTGTTATCAGCAGACAGATCAAGTTTGCAATGATCTCAGGCCGAAGACCATGGAGGACGTCCCAGAGAGTGACGTGGGAAGAGAGAGCGCAGGCGTGGTGAGAGAGAGCGCACGCGTGGGGAGAGAGAGCGCAGGCGTGGGGAGAGCAGGAGAGCAAGTCTTACTACAGAGTGATGGGAACACTGTCAGAGAGAGTGCAGACGAGGACAGGGAGAGAGAGGACGATGTAGCGATCAATTCGAAAAGAGAGATGAGAGGTGGGAAGAGAGAAAGAGAGGATGAACCTGGACCTCATTGCCGACATGATGCTGCTCATTGCCAAGATGTCCTGGTGCATGCCTTCAGCTTTCTCGATGTCAGGAGCAGGTATCGGGCAGGCGCAGTTTGCAAGAGCTGGAATAGAGCGTCCTGGGATCCCGGCTGCTGGAAGGCGGCCGACGCGACACGCAGCAAATTACGGATCCGATCCCGACGGGAATCTAGGGAGCTTTTGTATAGACAAGTCGCTAGAAATGTAGTGTGCCGCAGCCAAGGTGGACTCATTTCTCTGTCCGTTGTCTTCTGTGATCCAGATACTCTGCAGCTCATAGCCAGCAATTGCCCCCTCCTTGAGACTCTGGTACTCGAGTATCCGAAGCTCGACGATTGGCAATCGAGTTCACAAGGATGGATGCTGGCCGTTGATGCGCTCGAGAGAGGATGTCGGTCGCTGCGCGAGGTGGATCTCGAAGTGTGTCCAGACAGTGTTCAATGCGAGGAGCTCACAGTGGAACTGGTCACGCGTTTTCCACTGCTGACCGCTTTGCGCCTTTACGGCACCGACACTGATGACGATTCCCTGCGCGTGATCTTAACAAAACACCCTAATTTGGAATTTCTGCAATTGACCGCAGAGGACCTAATCACGGACGCCAGCTTGGTTATGATTGGCAGCAAACTGAAGCGCTTGAAAACTCTAGAGGTGGGATGTTGCATTGAACTGACGGAAGCGGGTTTGAAATCCTTGCGCTTGGAACGGAAAGATCTGAAAGTCGTAGTGGAAGAGTAGGGCCCTCCCTATGTAATTAGTATTATATGATATGATATGATTAGGCGTGTAGCTTAACAGATATGATTAGGCGTGTAGCTTAACAGAGCTACGCCAAGTTCTGCTGTGGGCCAGCTTGGCAGCCTCCTGCTTTGCGTACTCCGGGTACTCCCTGGACGCGAGTTTGTGTTGGTAGGAGACGATGATAGGAAGAAAAAGACGAAGAATGGATCTCTCTCTCTCTCTCTCTCTCTCTCTCTCTCTCTCTCTCTCTCTCTCTCTCTCTCTCTCTCTCTCTCTGTGCGTGTGTGCGTGTGTCTGCCCGCTCTCTCTCTCTCTCTCTCTCTCTCTCTCTCTCTCTCTCTCTCTCTCTCTCTCTCTCTCTCTGTGTTTGTGTGGTAGGAGACGGTGATGGAGTCTCTTGGCCTCCTGCTTTCCGTACTCCCTAGTTTGTGTTGGTAGGAGACAGTGATAGGAAGATCTTAAATTTCTCGGTAGGAGACGGTGATGGAGTCTTTTTTCCTTACGTTTCTTTGGTTAATAATTTCTTAAACAAGGATATGTAGTTGTTGCCTTCTTTATCGGCATTCTCTCAGCTGTCGTCCAGCTATGGATCGTCCCGCTCAAGGTTATCGTGTCCTCCTCTTCTGCTCAGCAGCTATGGCCCCATCGTTCTGGTTTATCCCCCTCGTCGTGCTCCTCACGTTGCTTGCCGCAGCTATTAAGCGGAGCTAATGGCGATGGCGACGATGGAGTCTTGCACCAGCGGCGGCAGCACGCCGCTTCTTGTGGAAAAGTGCCAACGCTTGTACCAGGGCCGAGGTCCCACTACCAATCTGGATGTGGTTTATGCAGATGAACCTCGTCCAGATTCAGGCATTCGATCCGATTCTCTTTGCTTCTGGGACCACGCCCCACTACCCGCAGTTCACTCTCCTGTGCGCGTTTGAGGTCGATCTCCTCAACAACTCGTGACGGAGACCTACGATTTTATTTATTTATTTATTTATTCAAATTTATTTATTTATTTACTTACTTATTTATTTATTTATTTATTTATTTTTTAGGCCTAATGACTTGGCATTGTTGGCACTGCGCGGCGAGTCACTGGGCGGGAAAAGGTACAAGCCTTGGGGGTTCACCGAATCTTTGAGAGGAGATCGATTGGCGCGCAGTGGGTATCAGCTGGGCTTCGGCGTTGACCAAGGAGAGGGGACAGATTGGCGGGCGGTCGAGGACTGACGCGGCAACCTTCCGCCGCGAGCCGTTGAAGCTGTCGTTGGTCCGAAGAATCCAACGTAGGGAGAGAGAGAGAGAGAGAGGGGAAGGGGAGGGCTCTGGTCAGGACGAGGGGCGGGAAGTATGAGCTTCTGAGGAGACATGGTGGCGTGTGTAAGCATATACCGAATGGCTGTGATGGGCCTATCCCCTTTACATTTCCTCCTCAAGTGAGGAGCCGATGCTTATGGAGTCGCGCTGAGCCTGGTATTTGCCCGACGCATGTCTCTTAACTATCCCCAGATCCGAGTGACCAAGGACGATGAGGGGTGGCGGTCGCCCCTCGGCGACTTGTGTTCCGTCTTTCTTTTTTTTTTTTCTTTTTTTTTATTTGGACCATTTCTCGATTTATTCGTGTCATCCTTGCGCAGGGGCCATTTGCTAATCTACCCTTCTCTTTCATGATATTAGTATGTGCTGGTCGGTGATATTAAGTATGCCAGTAAGATGCATTGAGCGGTTCGACTTGGTAAAGCTTTCTCTTCTTTTTTTTTTTGAAATAACTAGGGCGCAGTCAGGGTTACAGTTTGTAATTGCATCTCAAACTTCGCTTCAGCAGTTTAGTCAGGCCCCGAGTTTCAAATGCAGTTGAAACTCGGGGTGGCGTTTTCTAGCAGTTCAGTCAGGAAGATGGCCGGTTTTTTTTTTTTTTTTTTTTTTTTTTTT